ATGCAACATGCGGCCTGCCAACGTGTGTTTTGCCGCTGCTGATGAATGCCAATGCAATGCGCCTGTTCTCTGCGGCTTGTTGTTGTTCTTGTTGCTGTTGGGGTTTCGCAAGTGCCAAATGTCTCTAGCTTTCTGACTGCGATTCTGCCTCAATGTGCGTCGTGCCTGCTCGTGGGCGTGGCAAGCACTCAGCAACGCGACTTGACTCCCACTTGAATTTGCATTACAAAGGCAACACAAATTGCGCGCTGCTCTTTGTGCTGCTAGGCTTGCAGGAGGCAGCTGCAGCTCCTCAAAAACTTCCAGGCTAACTCCTAGCAGCGAGATTTACTCAAAGAGTTTCCCTAATAACTGAGAGACAAAGCAAACGGGTTGATAAACTAATTAATAACTATATAAACTATACTAGCTCCCATAATCTCCGATTTAGTCTTAAGAAACCTTGTTTTATTATCCATTTTTATCGATATTAAAGAAATGTTAGCGAAAGACAAATAACAAAGTTGTTCAGCTTACGGTCTGGGAGAATAAATACATAAAATTACAAGTCTCTAGCTTTGGGGGTTTTTGGGATCGGCCAATTAAAAGGGCGTAAGAATAAGAAAACATATGACTTGTAACAACAGGGAAAGGTTTTTAACTAGTTCAGAAATGATATCATATATATACATTAAAAATATATATAGAAATATATATAGCTAACTTTAGTCTAAAAACCATTTAAACACATCTCGCTTAGGTCTAGCAGATTTGTTTGCCGTACCGTAATTGAATATTGAAATGCATTTTTCATTAGCGCGTCGCAGGGCCAACAGGGCCCAACAACAACAACAACAGTATTAACAACAGCGAACCACAACAACAACAACCACAACCACTGGCGAAGGCTAGAAAAATTGCGTATAATGAAAATTCAATTAAACTTTATTACCTTTTGGTTGCACTTGCTTAACCTCAGCTTTCACAACTTGAACCGCCATGGGATTTGTGGCCCATTTGTTGCATTAATTCTAAAGCAGCTGCTTGCGGGGGCCTCCAAGTTCCACAGCTTGTTACCCAACAACAACAATTTCAGATCTCCCCCCAGCTAACCCCATGCAACACCAATCCAAACGAAGGAAAACCCATACCTTAACCAGGTTCACACCAAGTCGCAGCATTCTATGCTCGCCAACAGTTTGTAAATTGCATGCTTTTGTTCAGATTTTCCGCAAAAAGTTTTTCTTTATAACATTTTTCCTGTTGTTGTTGTTGTTGTTTGCTGGCTGCTGGCAAGACGACAGCCAAACACCTTCATATCTTTTAATGAGAATAAATTGATGTTTTGGGCATTTTGTTTAGCTGCCGCTTGTTGCACACCTATTTGTATAGAATATATACAAACTTTGCCAACTCTCAACTTGTCATGTTGTTGTTCTTCTTCTTCTACTATTTGCTGCTGTTGTTGCATATTGACAGCTACTTAGAACTAGGGGCTGGAAAATTTGTTGTTAATCAGTGTCAAGACGCTTGGGGGGCATGAAGCAAAGCAACGGGAAAATTTCAACAGCTCAGCTACATGAATTCAAAAGTAAATGAATGCGGCAAATAAGAAAGTGGCAATGGAGGACACGTACAGGTAAATCTGGGGCTTAAATACATATAATAAGGGCATTGATGACAGTTTGTATAAGAAAATATAAAGTATTAGTTTTGAACAAAATTTATGTGAATATGTGGGGCTTAAAAATAAGGAAAATGTAGGCTTAGATAAAAATGTTCTTAAATGACAAAGTAATTAAAGACTAAAATTTTGTTTAACTAAAGGCAAATAAACTTCAAGCACTGAATTTGCAAAAACGACACAAAAAATAATTTAAGACAAATATGACCATGGAGGACATATAGAGGTAATTAATTGAAAATGTATCTGAAAAGCAATCTCATCCTGCTCATTCCACAAGCTTTCATTGCTTTCACTTAAATTCTAAACCCAATTGGCAAACGGTACCTCAAGGACTAGCCTTTAATAACCGTCACAAAATGAACGATTAAACGCTGCAATGTGCCACTTTCAAGTTTGAAAACTCTCACTCATCGGCAGCTAATAGATGACTTTTACTTAGTTACTCGCTACTTAGTTGTAGTGCCCAGAAAAATCATTAAGAAAGTCCCAGCGAAATGACCCTTTTAGCTATTGTAAGTGCCATTAAGGGTTTGGATCGGGAGGGGAAGAGAATTTAAAATGCAATGCAATGAATATATTTCAAGCATTTCAAACATTAAATAAATGACAGGCTGACTGACTTGATCCACTTTCAGTCACAGCCAGAGCCAGATATAACGCAATGATATTGACCCAAAGAGCTGAGCTGGGCTGAGCTGCAAAACTGAAAGCTGAAGCTGAAATCTGAAGAGAGTGTGGCAACACTGAAATGAACACTGGACGCAATTGCAATGCAAAAGTTGAAACTTATTATAATTTTAATGCAAAACATTATGCGAAAGTATAAAATTATATATCTTTGCCAGCCAGTTGCCAGTTGCCAGTTCCAACTGCACTCTGCTGGCCATAATTTTAAATGGGCACCCGGCAACAGCAGCAGCAGCAGCAGTTACTGCAACTGCAACAGCAGCAGCCGCAAAGAATCAACTGTCATAATGACAGTTCTCTGTTTACGCCATCATTGCGACGGTGCCAGCAGCAGCAGCCACTTGGACTTGGACTTGTTGCCGTATCAACTGCTCTACTGTCTCCTTACCAGACCCCCACCACCACCCATTCTCCTTCTTCATTGCCCCACTTTTGCCACTCCCACTTTGTTGTTGTTGCTGATCCGTTTGCTAACTTCTAATGGAAATTATAATGTGCATTGCAGTTGCGCTGCCATCGCTTGAACAGTTGATGCCGTTGCTGTCTGTCAGACAGCGCGCCAAAAATTTGCTGTTGTTTATCAGTTGTACCACTTGGTTATGGAAAATAGGGTCTATTAGTTTATGGAAAGAGTTCGTAACAGGTGTTTTTGAGTAAGGTGTAATGAAAACAATACTTATTCAAATAATAAATAATACAAATAAAATAATAAAAAAAAATATTAATTAATTATTTAGAGTATGGGATATATATCTACCCCATTTATCAAATATTATTAACAAAATATCATTAACAGTAAAAGTAGATATATAATCGAACTTTTCTAATAAATATTATTTAAATATTTAAAAAACACAGATGATGATCTTCGATTAAAACATATGTTAATTCATACACCCGGGAACTCAACCCAGGACATTGTTACCTTTACTACGAAAACCATACTAATATTTTGTATGTCCCTAAGATTTTAACTGATTTTAAGTTAAGTTCTGTACTTGATTTTAGCGTGCTAAGTTTGGTAGAATTTATCTGAACATTGTTAGCACATTTTTGTTCTACTCTTTCATTTTTCCCTTAACGTTCAATTATTGAGATTCCTAATTTGGATATTCAACTGCCATTTGTGACTAGCATATCTTTAATAACTAGAATCTACATGTTTATTTATAGTTTTTGGTTACTTTATATAAGTATAGAAAACTTAATATAAATATTTCACCTTATGATTACTTTCCTTTCCTCCTATGTACACTCTACTATAGAGCATTTCAGAGTCTAAGTTTTCAACATTTCTCATCTAACTTGATTGTTTTTGTCCAACTAGCTGCATACCAAGGCTCCCAGTCAAACAGTCAGTCAGTTGAGTTGAGCTGAGTTGATTAGGGGCCTGTACGAACGACCGACCGACTGGCTGGCTAGCTGCCTGCCTCAACGACTGGTCTTTTTGACTGGCGCTCTTCAAGTTGACTCCTTTTGTTGGCCGACGCGATAACGCGCCGAAATGTCAATATAAAACTATGGCCACACGGCTTCGCCTTGACTCTCGAGTGCCGAGCGGTGGCCTCAAATTTCAAAATACTCTCAAAACTCACGAACCAAAAACCCATAACCAGACCCAAACCCAAACCTGAAGTCACAATGTTGAAGCCTGTGCGGAGCGAGCATTTGAGTGACGTTGTGCTACTTGGCTGACTGCCTGACTGACAACAACAATAACAACAACAACAACAACCTTGTTTAGCCTTGCCTCAGTCTGTGCCTTGCCATTGTTGGTTAGTTTTTAATATTTATTTTGATGTGCGATAGATTCGTTTAGACAGGTGAAAGGCTAAATTGTCAATTTGCAAGCGCAGGCCAACAAAACAAAAATAAAATAAATATCGAACAAAATAACCCAAGCCCAAAATTGAGCCAAGCATATAAGATGCCAGTTAATAGAGCTCGACTATTAGATATTCTATAAAATTTGATTGATATTTTATTAACAGTTCAGTTAAGTAATATGCTAGCTGAATAACTATAATACCAAACTGAAAGTTATGCCCAAAAATTAATAAACAAAGCCAACTGATGCTTTTCTCTAATATAAACTCTTTTGGCAACCTAATCGTACCCTTTCGTGACAACTTTGCTAGTTTTATAGGATATGCAATAAAGGAAAACCTGACCAAAACAAAGTCGCGTTCTCATTTTGCGCTCGTTTGAATTATTTTTGATTGGACCAACATTTTCATTTCACTTTATTGGTTTCTGTTAGCTAAACAGAGCCTTTTGTTTGGACATAGACACATCCATCAGTTGGTTAAGTGACTGAATAACTGACTGAGCGGTAACTGGCAAGAGAGAGTTTGCCAGGACAATACCTACAATGGAGCTTTTAGTTGTATCTGTTAATGATTGAGCAACTTTCATGTGAATCTCACGCTTGGCGCTCCTTACCACTCCGCCCTCTCTGACCCTGTTTTGGCTATTAAAAATTTATGAAAACTCTGTGCACGAGATTAGTCTGTTGTGTTCAATGAAAATGAGCTGGAAAATAGCTGTCAAATTCAGTTTAGCCGAATAGAGAAAATTTAAGGAGCTGTCATTTAATATGTGCTTTAGGACTGCAGCTCAGTATATGAAATATGTAATAAAGACTTACCTGCATTTCCTTTAAATCCTTTGAATTATTTTCAATGTTAACTATAAAGATAAAATTATGGAAATATATAAGTTAGATAGATAAGTAATATGCTAGAAAAATAGGTTTAAGAAGTAAGGTCAAAACAAAAAGATGTATAATAAAAAGATAGTCTGAATTGATAAGTTCTAGAAGTTGTCTAAAGACCTATTTGAGATAATAGAAAATTATTAGATCGGATAATATCTTTGTTCTAATAATATCTTGATTTTATACCACTGAGTGCGCTTGAAATATCACAACTTACAATCAAATTAAATACCATTTAAGACCCAAAAGCACAACTCTTTTAACATTTGACCCACAAAACAAAAGCAAATCTCAATAAAACGCAGTTGACTTTTGAATTTATATTGTGTGCACATTTTATGTGCTGCTTATGGTGCATATAGTATAGATATATGTAGTACACACATACGATTAACGACCTTATAAACAAGTGCCGAGTACCCAACCGTTCGACCCACAAAATAGCGAGTGAGTGCATTTTGTTGCCCTTTTGCTCTAGACACGTTTGTTAGCTTTGCGATGCATCGTTTAATTTTAACGCTCAATTTAAAATGTTTTATGCAGCAGCGCGAGCGGGCGCACACACACACACACGTATCCTCCTGGAACACCCAGTTGTTAGCTGCAGCACCCATATACATACATATACATATGAGTGCAGCCAGGCGAAGCGCAGCGCGGCATAAGACCAACAACAAGGACATGCAGGAAGAGTCTGAAACAGAACCAGGACCAGCAGCAGGACCAGCAACAGCAGCAGCACCCACGCGGTCTGGTTGTCGTCCTTGTTCTGCATGCAATTATCTCAGCATTGGCTTTTTCTGCAGCCGTTGTCCTGCATCTTGTGCCTTGCAATAAATTAAGCTATCAAGTGTCCTTAATGTACAGCACCAGTGTCCGTGGGAGCGCTCGACTTAATTTATAAGCAACTCAGAAAGCAAACCCAGCCCAAGCCCCAACTCCCAACATAATAATGCAAAGAGTATCACACAGTCAGTCGGCAATTATAAACTTTTTATTTATATAAGCACTTCTGCCATAAAGACGACAGAGAAAGAGAGATCCAAGTCCCAGACATGGCTGCAGCAGGTGTTGCATATGAAAATTATATGCTTCATAAATTTCGCTAGCCACAAATTGAAACTGGCCCAGACTCCGTCAAGCGACTCGAGTCACAGACAGTCTTTCTCGCCGGGTTTGGTAATTCAAGAAGTTTGTCAACCTTTTGTCGAACTGTGTCATGCGATACTTTTTATTCACAACATCTTTATAATTTCTGAACCGATCCCTTAGTTGTGCAGTTGGGCTACCTGCGCACAAATTAGTTTGACAATCTATTGAGCGAGATATCAGAGGCATATATCAGCAATCTCTTTTACGTTGAGATTTTGTGGGAATAAACTGAGCTGATGTCAAATTATTTTGAAGTGTTTGGACAGATTTTCTACCTTTTTCCTCTTTTTATATATATATTTTTTTCTTTTTATTTTTTTGCCAATAATTTGATATGAGACCTTTATTTTTAAGTGGGGCGTGCAAAGATTTTTATTGCAGGGCGTCTACTTCCGCGGCAACAGCTGCCGGGACAACCCGCTTGCGGAGAGAGCAGGAGTGGCACGAAGTGTTGAGCAGAAGGGTCGGCAAAGGAGTTTACAATTGAAAATATCATTAAAATTTAATAAAAAAAAAAATATAATAAATAACATTTCAAAAATAATTGCAATTAAAAATCCTCCCTTAAGACAATATAATACTGTAAAAGAACTTTTAATAAGATTCGCTGAGCTCAGACTAAATTATGAACATTCAAAGATGGAAAATAACAAATTTGCTGAAAAAGTCTCAAATAATATTTTGTATAAATTAGATAAATCATAAAAATCGTTATAGTTTGGACGAGAATTTGCGTTAAAATATAGGTTATATAGTACGAATAAATTATTTATTTGTTCGACATTTAAAACTTAGAACATTGAAATTGATGCGTTGATGAGGTCTTATAATTAAATTAACGTGTCTACAAATTTTATAAATGTCAGAAAATGTAAATATACTGTACCTAATAATAAAAATTTATAATAAAATATATATAAATCTTAGGACCGGACCTCGAGCCAGTTAAACTAAGATTTACAAAAAAAAATTTATATATCAAAATTTAATATGTTATTTTTTAAATATTTCTGGCTTCCATAGTATGTCACACTTCACACTTTTCGGCGCTCCTCACCTTCCTAGCCACCGCACCCACAACACAGGGTGGAAAATGAAAGCAAATGTTTATGTGGCCCAAAGTTAAAATTCCATCTAGAGATGCCCGATTAAGCGAACTGAAACTTCCCTCGTTAAGCATATTGTTACTTTATGCATAGCTACTCAAATTTCAAAGAGTTAACAGCTCGAAGCAGAACAAAATTAATACGCAAATCAGTGACAACAACAATAAAAACAAAAAAAACAAAAAGTTATTCTTAAAGGTCCACTAGTCGCCTTTATGTTATTGTGGCGTGAAATGAAGACATTCATATTGTTCGGTTTCCTTTACTGAATGTCTGTATCAGTTTTCAGGTTGGTCGTGTTCCAAATTGGTGCTAAATGCGCTGGCGTTTCAATTGTCACCAATTGAGATAAATCGGAAGTTGCCAGCATGCCTTTGATGCCATATACCAATACATAACCAAAAACCACATCCATATATATACATTTTAATACATAATCATTATAATGCAGATGAGGGTGACTTCAACTTGAGAACCACATTACAGCTATGAATGCCCACTGCGTGCACCTTGCGGCGCTTCGCATTATCGCTCAGGTCATAAATTTCTTGGGGGCCTATGTCGAACCAGAAACCAGAATTTATAGAATCCAGACCCAGAGAGTCTTAAGTGCCGTAATTTCAGTTCGATTTTAACATATTTTGATCGCGTTGCTGACAAACTTTAAGTGCTTTTATTTCTACGCTTTATGGCGGCAGCAAAAATGTGTAGTTCTGTTTTTTTTTTTTCTGGTTGGATTTAATAAAAGCAAAATATGCCGCTTTAATATTTTTTTGTATCATTTTTTTTTTGTTCATTTATTGGCATTTGGCTGGTTGCCTTTTGAAGCTTTTTTTACTGCTCGGCTAGCGCTCAATTTTGTCTGAGGCGACCTTTTTCTGTGGTTGTTGTTGTTGTTTTGGCTGCCGCCTGCCTCGTTGTGTGGCATTCTTACTTTTTTTTAAAAAACCTATATATATATTAAGAAATATCACAGATATATGAACAAACAAACTTGCCGCAAAACCAGACACAGAAACATTTATGGAATTCATTTTCTTACTGTGCAAATTCTGCAACTTGTTTAAAATTCTTTAAAAAAAAAAAAAAAGAAATGGCAGCTAATGATAAATTTGTCATCAGTTAAGCTCTGCTTGAATATAAAACATTGAAACAAATATAATCTCTATATATAAAACTGTTTGTCCTGACTGACTGACTGACTGACTGACTGACTGACTGACTGATTGGTGATCAACGCACAGCCCAAACCGTAAGAGCTAGGAAGCTGAAATTTTCACTGTAGCTACCTTATGTGATGTGGGTGCACGTTAAGACGGGGTTTCGGGAAATTCCACCCGCAAGTGTGGCAAAATCACGAAAAACGTTTGTATGTAACTTTTTTGTTTACCATCCGATCGGCCTCGTACTTATTTTCAAAGATCTTTGTTCAAATTCATTTGAGGGGTGTTTCACACTTTTCGAATAATCCGTTCCTCCTTGGTGGAAATGGAGGTCAAAGATTTGGTGTTTCGCGTTTCGCGCTCAAATTAATTTCCAGAGATCTATAAGAAAAATTATTTGATACGTGTTTCACACTTTTCGCAGAATTCAAACTTCTTCGGGGGGAATGCGATTTAAAGATTTTTTGGGCGAAGTTTTAAGTTGTGTCCGATTTGCTTCAAACTTATTTTCAAAGCTCTACATAAGAATGTAATGAATACGTCTTTCAGCGATTTGGGAAATTCCACTCGCAACAGTGGTAAATTGGCGGAAAACGTTTGTATGAAAGTTATTTGTTTACCGTCCGATCAGTTTCAAAATCATTTCAAATTTTTTTGAGAACATTGATTTTATAACATACGTGCCACGGGCAAGACCGGGTCATACCCGCTAGTCGAATATAATCGAATATAATCGAACAATAACAAATTATAAATAAAAGTACTAGCTAGGGACCATTAAAAGCAGGATAAATAAAGAATCTCCTCCTACTTTTAATCCCATTTAATTTCATATCAGGTAAGCTTTCATCGTATGCTACCCCGCACACAGAGCCACAGTTTACCGTCTCCTCTTCTTTTTTTTACACGTTCCAATTGGATTGGCCATCGATTATATGTATGCCAATTTTTATTAAAATTCCCCATACCATAATGAAAAACGATAGTTGGAGCCATTTTCATTTCGCATAAAGTTAAATATTCAGGCGCGCCCGCAAGTCAAGCTCCGATTTTAATTTCATTTAAATCTCAGTGCGGTCCATAAAAAATGCACAAAATATACACACACCCATATATATATATACACATAGGTATAGCCCGACTGCATAACCCACCGACGTGGGTATATTGCCACAGTGTGTCGCATGGCTTGGTCGCAGTTCAAACTGGGTTAATGACAAGCTTAACGGCGCTGGCGGAAAATTAAAAACTGGCAACAGAAAAATGCGACAGAAAAGTAAAAAAAAAGTCAGACTAAAGCCCAGGTGAAGGTTTCAATAGCAACCGCTGCCGCATAGACGAGCATGAAATATTGAACATAGAGCCAAAGCCAGTGCAAAAGCGAAAATATTGTTTACCATTGCGGCTGCTTTTGTCGTTTTTCCATTTTCCCATTGTAGTCTTATTTCCAAGGGGAAAATGCCAAAAATTTAATTTGACAAGCATTTCGTAAGCCCTACACAAAACCAGCCAACAAAAAAATAATTGCATGGGAAGCCAAAGCAAAGTCAA